TGTAGGGAGAGCGACGCTCACCCGGGGAGCAGTGCTGTGCGTAATGTGTCCGCTCTTCTTTCCAGATCAAACTGGCCGATTACATTCTCCAGCAGTCACTTTACCCTCTTTACCCCCAAAGACAAAACTGTTTCAGTGAAAATCATTTGGGTTTTGAATCGGATGTGACTGGTGTGGTGGTCCCCAAACCATGGCCATGCAATCACTTTCCCAGAACAGATTTTTCTGTGCTTTTCACTTGAGCTTGGGAAGAGCTGCACTTTGAATTTTAGATGTAACTTGTTCTGTTAGCAAAGGATCATGTCAGAGTGCAAGCATTTTTTTTTTTNAGGAGTGGAGAAAGGTGCAGTGTGTCGCAAGAGGCAGAGGAAATACCCATAGCTCACCTTCCTTTCACAGGCTGCTTGGAGACCTGTGCACACACCTGCTTGATGCCAGCAGGCGTGGGATTCTCGTAGATGAGGAGAGGTTTCTTTGCCTCTTTTTGCCACATGCCCCTCATCCCAGAAAAATGGGGAAAGAAGCCATTTGCTGTGCCAAACATCCCCAGAGTCCATGGGCAGTCAGGGTGGGCCCTGCCAAAGCTCCCAGAGACCACAAGCAAGGAAGGAAGCAGGGCTCTGAACTGCACACCAGGGTAGTGCTCTGTGGTGTGGTATATGGCCTTGCCCCATAGTTGCTAAGACATGGCTCGTGGGGACTGTCTCCAGCCTGCTATGAGGTTTCAACCATATGGCTTTTTGCATCTTTAAACACAAGCTGCCCTTTTATCATGCTCCTGGGCCTGGCCCCTGCTCAGAAACCCTTCAGGTACTCAGTGCAAAAGCCCAGTTCTGCCCTTCAGCAGCAGGGCCTCCTGCCCCACACTGGCATCGCAGGTTCTTGGAGGTTGGGTGCCTCTCCAACTGCTCCTTATGATTTGCCTTCTGCCCAAAGCATGCCCGCTTCTGCACTGGCCTCTGGCTGGCCATTCAAATGCCTGCCTCACAGCTGTGCTGAGGGCGCCCTTTCTACAGGCAGTGTCCTCCCCATCCTGTCCTCGTCTCTGACTTATCCTTCTTGCCATCCAGCAATTCCCACTTCCTCCAGTAGGTAAGTCTTTGTAGCCCATCACATCGACCTCAGCCTAGGCACAGACACCCCTCTGCTGGGTGACGTCATGACAGAGTGCCGGTGCCCTGTGTGTGACTGAACCCTTTGTGTCTTGATGCAGCTCTGGGCTCTGTCAACCAGCTGAGTTGCAGGGGCCTCTTCCGTTGCTCCACGACACTGGGGTGGATTGTGTGCACAGCAGGTGAGGGGGCATCTGGTGTTCAAGCAAATTCATGAATGTTTACTCACCCTGACACTCCCAGCTACCAAAAGGAGGTGGCTGGGTTGCTGGAAGATGGACTGACGAGGGGGCCGAGCTCCCTTCAATCCCACTTCCTAAGCAGGCGTGTTGTGCACAGCCCCTCTGCTCTGGGAGCCTGCCACGGCTGGACAGTGGCACCACAGACACCCCTCTTCTGCGACACTGCCCACTCACCATGGTCCGGACGCCGTACTGCTTCTCCACCTTCTCCTTCAGCTGTCGGAAACAGGCTTCCATCCGCTCATGGAACGGCCTCAGCGCTTCTGTCACTTTGTCTCCATGAATCCTGATCCCTTCAGCCAAAAACGGAATCTGAAAAACACAGAGTTTGATGCCCCTTATTTCTTGGTTAAAAGTGTAGGGAGAGCGACGCTCACCCGGGGAGCAGTGCTGTGCGTAATGTGTCCGCTCTTCTTT